TTGTAGCTTCCTGGATATTTCCAAAGGCACAATCAAACATTGCAGCAGCCAGCCAGGTTGCAACCAGGATATGAGTTCCTATTGCCAAACTGTCCAATAGGATCCTAAATAGTACAGTCTACTTGTCCTTCCATAAAGTTATATAATGTAAGTGCAAACATATATTTTCATGTAACTTTCTCAAAGGCACCTCTTATTATATACATTTTGTCAGCAAATATACCCTAAAGAAGCGAATATGCATTCACATTACTTTCAAGTGTATTTCATTGGGGCTTTCCCCTAATATACACATTGTTTACAAATTTTTTCTAATTCCTCTACTTCCAGTTTCATACTAATGTTGGCATCTTTAGGATTTTTTTCTGAAGCTGAAAAGGAAAACAAAAATTAGAGTCTAAGGAACTTGGAGGAAATGAGTGACATTTCGCGTAGTCACCATCTGTACATGATTATGATCATGATCATGTACATGTTCATGATCAAGGACATCTTTTTAGTTTAGAATAATAATTCTGAAAAAAAAAAGAAGGAATATTAACTTTAGCTTCACTCCCCAATGTCCCCTTCACCATTAATCTAGATACAGTACATACAAACAAGAAAAGTTCATAGTTTTTTAAAAAAATGAAATGACCCCTGAATTTTTGAAAGAGCAATTTTGATGTCCTTGTTTTTCATGCTATAGATTAATGGATGCAGTATGGGTGGAAAAATGGAATACATCATTGTAATTATGAAATCGAGGTTTGATGGTGTGTTAGAAAGGGGCCTTAGATAAGCAAAGCAAGCAGTGAATACAAATATGGTGATGACAATGAGGTGTGGTAGGCAAGTGGAGAAGGCTTTCTTCCTGCTTTGAACAGAAGAAATTCTCAGAACAGCAGAGAAGATCTCCACATAAGTAGCAATGATGAACAGAAAACAACCACTTGCTAATGAAATGGTGAACACTACAGCTCCAATTTGAACCAAGTATGAATAAGAGCAGGCAATCTTAAATAAATGTGGGATTTCACAGTAGAATTGGTTGATAATATTAGAACAGAAAGGAGTTATAAATGTTTCAGTAGTGTGTAGTATAGCATTGAGAAAACTGGCAATCCACGCGCTGCCAACCATTTTGATGCAAGCTTTCCTGTTCATTACTAATTCATATTGTAAAGGATTGCAAATGGCAACATATCGATCATATGCCATGATAGTAAGGAGGGGAACATCAGAGCCCAGGAAGAAGAGAAACAAGAAGACCTGAGCAACACACCCTGAATAAGATATATGCCTTATATTCATAAGACAATTAAAAATAGCTTTCGGAATAATGACTGAAACTGAACCAATGTCTTGTATGGCTAAGTTCATCAGGAAGAAGTACATTGGCGTGTGAAGGTGGTGGTCAAAAACAGCAGCAGTGATGATGAGAAAGTTCCCTGTTATGGTCATTAAGTACAGTAACAATAGGAGAGCTGAATACAGAATCCGTATGTCTCCAATCTTAGAGAATTCCAAGAGAAGAAACCCAGATGTGTAATTATCCATTTTAGTCATGAATCAAGGCATCTCTGAAAGAGAAGGAGAGCTGTTAAACATTTTTTTTAAAAAAAAATAATTCAGGTTGGAAAGATCTGAAGACCAATTGATTAACTTTTAAATAAATTTCATTAAAATTTAGCCTGCAAATTTACATCATATATTTTGAGCAACAGAGTAACATCCTCCAGATTCAATTTCCATGCTTTAGTTTAAAGTTCTGTGTGCTATCTTTTAAATATATTTAGCAGCAGCATGCCTTATGGCAGAAATTTGTAGTCTAGCTCCATGATTTATTTTTCCAGCTTTAAAATCAACTTAGAAATCCTCTAAAATGTCTCCATGATTGGGATGGTAGGGCAGAGAAATTAGACTTTCATTGGGAAGAATCCTGAAAGAGATACATCCCAATATATTCCACCATGTCTTTGTTACACAATTATGGGTGCCACCAACCTCATTCTCTATGACATCCCTGGGAGCCTTTTCTTTGTCTCATACATCGCAGAGGGATGCAATCTGGTTTGTCTGTGAAAGAGAATTCAGTGTAATATAATACAAAAACATTTCCTTATCAATAGAACATAAAAACAGAATAACAGAGTTTCAAGAAATGAAATTTGAAAATTCATTCATCTAGAGGGTGTTCAGGTATAAAATGTCAGTGCCTTGAAAAATTGTGAATTCAGTCTTACTGTGAATATCAACCTCTCGTTTTCTGCCAGATTGCTATTTCTAACAGCCTTAGGAACATCATTTTCCTTTGCATGTTAGGATTAGCCACATAATGTGTGTTTGGTAAATGCAGATAGAATAAACATTTTAGCATCATTTTTTAAAAAATGTTTCTTGTTAAGTTCCTTCTGAGATGTCCTAAAAGGACTTGAGAAAAAAAAAATGGCCTGATTCCTCCACCATTATTATAACTGGCCAGTTTTATAGCAATTTCAAACATTCACATTTAATAAAATCTAGACAGAAATGGACATTCTGAAGACCTATTTCAATATTGAACCTATTTCAGCTGCTTGTAATGGTAAAACAGAAACCACACACGCACACACACACACAACCTTCATTGGGTCATATAAATAAGTTCTACTTTGATTCAAGCCATCAGTTAAATCCACTGCTGAGTTGATCAGATTCATGTTGAATGTCAGATCAAATCAAAATGTCCAGACTGATTCATGGCCACTGATCTGAAACCAGGTTGAATGAAAACATGGTGAATCTTCTGAGCAATACAGCTTGATCTCAGGCTTCATAGATTACATCCAAACAACCCAGTAATTATGTTTGCTATGCTAATTTGAAATAATGTATGGGTAGAGGTAGCACTTCATATTTTATTTTTAGATTAACATAATTCAATGAATTCTACTTAAGTTATTTTCACCTCTTATTCTCAATAAAGCTACCTGAAGAATAATGCTTATGAAGGCAGCTGAGTGTTGTAATCTATTTTAACCAGAATTATAATGACAAGGTAAAGGGCAGAGAATTCTATCTTGAATATTTTCAGGAAGAAAGGAGAAATAACTGATCATTAGAGGTAAAAATAAATGAGTGACTCACCACCCTTATTCATGCAGATCTTTCCACATACAACAGCAATGTTTTATGCTATGGAGCCATCAGTGACATTTTATCCAATTTCTCTTGCCCTTTCTCAAAAGTTATTAAACTCCACTCTCCATTTGCAGTATTATGCAGGCACTGTAGTTTAGAAGTTTTGTGTACTCCTTGGGATATTTCCCAAGAGTGTGCATTACTGTGGCTGAAGAATTCTACAAGGAAATA